AGATAATATATGTGCCTGTGGGTAGCTCAGGAATATTTACAGCTCTGCAGTACAGTCAGCTGAAGAAATACATGTAGGAAACCTCGTTTTAATATTCTAATCACTAGCTAGTCATATACTGAATCGCACTCTGTACATAGTGTGAATGTTCTTATATATATTACGGTCGAGTTTCTTCCCCATAAATTATAGAAATTGCTTTTTAAAATATGATGTGTGGAATACTATACAGTAGAGTGCCCTGTGTATGAAAGAGATACGATATGTTATGTTTTCGTAAATATTTATCACAGGTAAATGCCTATCAGCAATAGTAACCGTGAGTAAAGGCTTGGTAATTAATATACCTTGTATGTATTCTGTGTGTACTTCCTTCTAGAGGTGACCCAAGAGAGATCAGTCCATTCTACTTCGCTGATACTATCTGTGGACAATGGCGTAAAAAACCCATCCTGGTTTGCGTTGGAGAGTATGAATCGCCAGAGCTTCATAGACAGTGTTCTGAGTTTGCTGAGGTATCTATGGATTTTAATTGATTATTATAACTAATGAAGCAATTAACGTACAGTCAACGCTCTATATACCAGCCACTCGAGAGAAATGGCAAGTGGCCTTTATAGACAGGTGGCCGTTCTATAGAGGGTTATCAATGTATAACTGCCACTCAAGGAAAATGCCGAAAGTGGTCTGGTGGCAATTATGCAGATGAAGCTGCTAACTAACACAAGTTTGACTGTGAGTTCAGGATCAGTATCCTGTGAGAAGATTTATATTGCCGTCTAGTCTATCCATCTGCCTTTTATGCTGCTGTGGTGTCTATGGTATTAACAATAGTTTCTAATTCCTGCCTGGTCTTTGCAAGCCTCTTCAGGTTACCCCATCTCTGTCTAACCTTCATTTCCACCTCAACAGTTCTTTGCCATATTTTTGGGGTGTTCTCTGAGTCTGGTCGTCAAGCCCTAATCTTTCTGTTCGCAGGCGTTACAGAGGGGCGGAGCCAATGCGTCCGAGCTGGAATTACCGAAATGTGACCATTTCACATTAGTAGAGGAAATGACCGATGTCAACTGCACACTGACCAAGGTAGATTTCACGTCCACTCAGCATTGGGAGAGTACTGTTGCCATTTTAATGATGCTACCAATTGTAATAAAAACATCTTGCTAAACAACATCTTTTGGGGGAAATTTTTATCATATGAAGTGATTATATATCGAGTGATATTATCAGACATCAGTAATCACAATGAAATCAAGAATTCTTGTTCCTTACACGAGTTCTTTTTAAGTATGCAAGTACTCACGAGAGATCTTCTCTCATGCCATCCTGATCAAATGTAAATTGATACCTCACGTTCCTCTCATATTTTCACCGTGTTCTTGTGATTGCAGGCGATGATGTCATTGATGGAGCTGAAAAGGGAGGCTGCTGTCATGGAAATGATGAAGGATGCAGCAGTGATGTCTGTTTCTACTGAATAACAACCAGCTCAGCATTATCCTCGAACCCATGTACCGATTGAAATCGGCGTCGATCGTAATTCCAGGTAAAGGGCATGTTTTATAGCTGTCTGACAGCTAATGCTGTTATATTAGTATGTCAACAGAGAATTTTATTTTTCGTAATGAATTAACGTATACTGGTGCTCGGCGTGTGTGGGTCATGATCGTGAGTTTACTTGAGCTGTGCAACAGCCATGTGATTAATAAGCATGAATTGTATAATTCCTGTGTGCTCAGCATACTTTCTAGTTTTTTGGGCTTAGAGTAAAAAAACAACAACCATCATATATCACAATGAAAACGCATAAGTCCGATGTAGTAATAAGTTAATAACACGGGGTAACGATTTAATTGGACTAATTGCATCAAAATATCTACATAATTTAAGGGAGATGATCATCTGATTTACATCAATTCCCATGTATTTCATATTTATATGCAATTAAATCTAATCTGCACTAAATTGATACTATATTGTAACATTTGGTAAAGAAGTGAGTAAAGTGATAAAGAAATAATAGTGAAGTATAAGTATACATTTTAAACTTGTTGTAGAATATTGTTAGACTGATTACCTGTTGTCTAGTATTCATAACATTCAGCCGATAGCCTTTTCCATTGGATCTCGCATTCTTTTCATTAAAAGCATAATATTCAGTACACTATTTCATAATTTCAATATTGTTACTAAGCATTACATCCTGACTGCATAACATAGCATCAACTTGTAGGAGAAGCATGATCAATCAACAAACAACACTTCCATCACGATTCTGTACCACACCACCTTTCAGTTTTTCACACCTGGCAGCCTGGGGCCCATTGTCAGAAACAAAATTAGTCTTAACATTAACTTTTTCTCTTAGACTGTCGTCAGAAACGCTGTGAAGTTACCTGAATGAAAAATCGTAGCAGATTTCCTCGTAACAATACAAAACAAAGTGCTGTCGACGGTCTACGAGAAAATGTTAATGTTAAGACTAATTTTGTTTCTGACAACAACCCTGTCGTAAAACAGGACCTACCTGTACTGAGATTAAGAATACTTGATTTACTATTTTAATACTTATTACTTGATTTCTTTCACAGATAGTGGAGAAATATATGGCTGGGGTAGCTCAGAATATTACCAGCTCTCATCGGTCACTGAAGAAATACAAGTATGGAAATGTTTAATATCTCTTATCACTAGTAGGCATATACTGAATCACATTCTGTACATAGGTGAATGTTCCTATATATATTAGGTCGAGTTTCTCCCATAAATTATAGAAATTGCTTTTTAAAATATGTGGGGAGAATATATACAGAGAGTGCCCTGTGTATGAAAGAGATACGATATGTTTATGTTTTGTAAATATTTATCACAGGTAAATGTGCCTCGTCATCTACCAATTCATCGATGTGGAAAAGCGATACAAGTGGCAGTTACAGAAACAGTCTGCGCTTTCTTAAACAGTGAGTTATCAATAATTTGTATAGTAGCATGCCTTGCAATTCCTTTATGCTGTTATATAATTATTGTATTATGGAGAAAACCGTATAGGTTAGGCTGCGTTATAGGCCAGATTGGTCATGCGATCCTTGTTCTAACAGAATGCAACGCTAGATATTCATCATTTATATTGCTAATGAAAAAATCAAGCTGTTCTGAATCAGAAATAATGATAATATAAGGATATGATCATATGAAACATTGATAATACAAGGACACGATGTAAGCATTATGTATTTAAACTCATTTACCACTTCTAAAAGTATGCTCCTGGTACATTTTATTGAATTTGCATGAAAAATATGACAATGTATTTATCACAATATATCTGAGATTTTAATGAATCTTATATAGTAACGATACTCAATGTAGTGGTGCTGTTACAGCTGACGGACATGTGTATGTGTGGGGCTGCGGAATACTCGGTTTAGGTCCTGAGAACAATCTCGTTAAACAGCCAACACGAATTCCTGAAGTGCTGTTTGGCCATAACGAATTGAACCCGGACAGCCGAGTGGTTCAACTCGCATCTGGTCACGGACATTTTGCGGGTATCAAAGGTATTAGTGGAACATAATTTCATTTTGATAATCAGTGGTTATTATTTTACAAGTGACTGCCTCAATGTCAAATGTAATTAAACTCTTGTAGATGAATAATCCAAAATCAATAATCCTGAATTTAGTGCATTAATTGCTTGTGCAAATTACAAATACTCAGAAGATTCACAAAATTTGGAGTATTGAAATCTATATAGTCTACAGAAAATTGTTCTTTCAGATAATGGTGATCTGTATACATGGGGATACAACAGCATGGCCTCACTAGGACTTGGGCATAAAAAGGATCAATACTTCCCAATAAAGGTATAGGATGCTATGATATTTGATATAAAAAAGAGACCGTATCTAACTGCAACTTGAGATGTAGTGCTACACAATGGACTACACAACACACATTAACTGTGTTAAATGCATTGTTGGGTTTTATTTTTAAGCATAATGGACTGTATTCAGTTTGAGATTGTTTCCTAAATGACGGAGGGTTAGTGCTTCAACAGCAGTTAAGATTCCTGCTTTTGGTCTTTCAGGTTATAATAGCCGCTGAAGTAAAGAAGGTTGTATGCGGTGCTGACCACATGGTGGCCATGGCCAAGTCTGTTACTTGAGGAGATGGAAGGCAAGATCAAGACCCACTCCATGAGAACAAGTCGTCCGAAGTGTTGAGCGGCCGAACATACTCGTGGAATAATTTATTTGTGTTTTGTTTTATATATGTAATTAGCAAACACAAATTACTTTAGTTTTTCATTTAATGCATTTTCAAATCTATGCATTCTTGTCCGTGGGCAATCATAGGAATTATTGTAATAATTATATGGCCTGACGTACATTATGAGTTATATATTATATAGTAAATTTCCATATTTCTTACTTACTTCTCATGTACAAAAATAGCAAGGGAAACCTACCCAAAATATAAGTATATGAAAAGAATTTTGTTACAGTGTGAAGTAATATCAATAAATTGAGAAACAACAGCTACCAAAGTATGGTGAAATTTATTCTACCCACTCTCATTATTTTGGAGCAAATAGTTTATGCATGCTACTTGGAAGGAGGTTGAGTAAGCACAGGAAGGAAATACATGTATATATCATATTCTAACAAGAAAATGTGCAGGAACTTGGAATTTTTAAGACTGCCTTGGACATTAGGACGTATACCTCAACAATTATATTACGTTTATATTAGTTATTTTAGAATTTGCTTAATGGCCAAAAATATATTGATAGCTATTTTGATTGGTATAATAATTACTATGCATTTTAACCCTGAGCGTGCATAAAACTATAATATTATTCACTTCCTTTAGCTACCACGCTCTCACCTCCACGGTTTTTCTACCTCAACCTCAACCTCATCTACTCCACATCTTCATGTTGATCTTCATCTAACCTAACCCCTTCACTGCCACAGCTAGCTCTACTTTTATCACAATATTCTTCCAACTGATTGACTTCCTTCTGTACCTATATACTCCACCCTACACTTTCTCCACTTAGGTCACACCCTCATCATCTATGCATCATCCATTTCTCTCTATTTCATTCAAGTCCTTCATTCAGTTGCGGTCCATTTGTAGTGAATTAGGCTTCCCCCGAGTCGCTCATTAGACGCTAGTACGTCTCATCGGCGTCATTGTGATGGTTTTTCGCGGGGAAATTTTCCTTGGCCGTATTTACTGCTGAGTGACTATTTATAGACGCTCGTAACACGTTATTGGGCTATCAGTGTCAGCTGCACTCTATTCTGACCTTTATAATAATTCTGATTGTCAGCGTGTCCCTGCCTCCTAAACCATATAAATAACTACACCGGGACTGTTCCAGCCAGTCTGTGAGACGGAATAGTCTAAAGCAGGCACGTAATCAGCAAAAAATTAACTACTTCGAGTAGTGACATGTCCTTAGAGCACAGAGCGAACACCGCCAACCCGTGAATCGACTACAGCGCAGACATACACGCGGATTTCGCACGCAGGGGATATGATTCTCACGTCAAATATGACATCCTCCCGCCATCTATCGGTAGAAATAATTCATATTCACACATTGTATGTTATGTGTAACCGTAAATTGCATTCTTAAATGCATTATAATACTCTAAAACGTATTTAACCTAGAGTAGAATTAATATAATTACAGTGCCTATATATAACAACATTTACTGGATAAGATTGGTAAAGGTTTGGCCGTGAAATTCCCATCCTACACTTCGATATATGTATTTCAATAACGACGTCGGGTCCACCTAAATACAATCAAAACAATGTGCGCATATGAATTATTTCTACCGATAGATGGCGCGAGGATGTCATATTTGATCAAAGTACCTGCTACATTATTGAAATACATATATCGAAGTGTAGGATTAGAATTTCGCGGCCAAAACTTTACCAATCTTATTTAGTAAATGTTATTCTGTATAGGTACTGTAATTATATTAATTCCACTCTACGTTAAATACGTTTTAGAGTATTATAATGCATTTAATAATGCATTTTACGGTTACACACAACATACAATTTGCGCATATGAATTATTTCTCCCGATAGATGGCGCGAAGATGTCATATTTGATCAAAGTCGCTGCTATCGAAGTTTGACTGCATATGTGGTTGTTTACTTTCTGTCGTTGATAAAATTATCTATCGTCATTAGTGCTCATGTCATTGCACTTGCAGTGTATTCAAGTCAAAGTGGCAGCCTGCTGTGAGACTATCTTAGATATGTACAGTAGTCTAATATATCAGAGTTATACTGCAATCAAGGCCTAATACAGTAATAGGCTGAATAACTACTATCACTAGTATCAGTGCTCGACCCTGGTAATAATACTAGGCCAGGCCCAGTGCGAATCCTTTACGAATAAGTGTTAGTGAGCTTTACCGGTGAGACAGTTTGTCAGCTCACCAAATTAGAAAATAACAGTTGCGATCGACGGCAATCCGAAATGCGTCCCCAACTAACAGACGAAGAGGTATAGTATAACAATGAAAACGGTCCATACATGATGTACTACATAAGTTAAAGAGCATTTCAACTTCAAGATTAAGTGCCTATAAGTTGTCTGTAAAGATTTGTAACTCTGGCATCAATCACCGCTAGTTATTAAGATATTTGTTAGCAGGGAGCTAGGTAGCTGAATGCGGATCACCTCTGGTAGGTACTTAATTTTCGTTTGAGTGATTTAATTTGTGCATTCGTCGATTCAGTTACTGAGTTGGGTGATCTATGAAATGAAGGACTGCATTTATACAGAGTTCTTTCTGCTTCTCTGCCTTTGCTGTGCAGGTTACAGCATTCGTCATTAGTGAACATATCGGTTTTACTTCCACTGGTTTACATGTAAATCATCCTGAAAGATGGTCACCAAATCTATTTAGTCTATTGCTTTAGGTCTAAACCATAGTGACAGTTAGAATTTCTTTGAACTGTACTACCTGATTGTGAACAAACTGTTAAACTCTATTATCAAACAGGACAGAAATTGGTAACACGTACTGCTTGCCTAGAAGGGCTAGAAATTCGCCTACACTCTATGCCAACCATGTTACACGGAAATGCAGATACATC